CCTAAAAAAACAGGAGGTCTTAAAACATATAGTGTCTTTTCTCTACTTTTCATTTTCTCATATAGAAGAAGATAGGAAAATGCCCATAAAGGACAACAAACCGTGGCAACGGGGCACAGAGTAGAATGGGGATGACGAGGCCGAGAGGCGTGCTACTGAGCAGCCCAGAGGCAAGGATGCCCTCGCGGAAGCCTGCCAGGTTATGTGGTGTGGATGTGAGACATGGGTAAATCTGAAAACCTAACCTACAGGACAGGTGGGACAGGAGAGCTGGGGTGGAGGCTCAGGGAAGCAGGAGCCAATTCTATCTTGTTCATTTGCACAGTGCACAGGGCAGTGTCTAACAGCCTAGACGGTCAGTAAACATTTTATGAATGAGTCAATCAGTCAATTGAGAAAGAAACAATTGCTGGATCAGAATTCGGGCAAGAAATTGATCCTGGCTAAGAGTGCTCTGCAGTCTTCCACAGAGCTAAACTATGCAATTTAATGGGGTTTGTAAGGAGAGAGTGAAGAGACAACAAAAAAGGAGGAAAGGAAAGATCCTCCTGAGGAATGACATTTCAAAGTACTTGTAGGACTTTTAGAAGAAGAAAAAGAGGAGTCAGTGAGGTGAATACACTGACTGACAACCCTAGACATCTTATCAAAAAGTGAGTCTCCTATTTGGGGGCTTAGAACCATGACATCAGCCTTCAGGGAAGGCACAGCTTGGAATCCTAGAAGGAGAGGGCTTGCTGGCTCCTAGACAAGAAAAGAGTTGCAGAAAAAGCATCAGAGCCAAAAACCTCCCCAGCTTGTTAGATCCTGCTTGAGGCAAAGGAAAGCAGCCTCCAAACCCAGCAGGTTCCTGGGAACTGTCAAAAGGAAGAATTGCCCTGCCTGAGACAGGGGGATAGCTACATCCCAACGGGGCAAGAAACCCAGCCAGGGGCTGTCCGGCACCTTCTCAGTGGTGAGACAATCTGGTCTACCACTGGGCATTGATCTGCATTGTCTCACTTCACCCCTCCAAGCAATTCCAGAGGTTCACCTCTTCCCCTGGGGTCTCAGCCGCTTGCAGCCAGATGAAAGAATTTCGCACTCAGCAACTGTGATGCTTACTAGTCTTTTGCATTCTTTGATTAATGACTCTGTTCTTCATTTAGTCATCTCCTTCCAATCTTTTCTGGGAGATCCCCAAGTTCTTGCCATTTGTGTAGAGAGGACATTGTACTGATGTATGTGGAAAATTACTGACGTGGCCGGCCTTGAGGTCAATCTCCAAAGGACAATAGTGTTATTTATTTTTAATTTTTATTGATGCTTTCATTGTTCTTTGGAAAGGACCTTGGCTGTTCTGCTGGAAGAGAGGGAGAGAGATATACACTATTGCACTTCTGAGCTTCCCTTGACCTTGGTATCTCCCATAGTGCCTTGGACCAGGCCACCAGGAGGACCTCATTCACATTCAGTCATGTAAATGCAATCAGAGAGCTTCATTCACAGACAATTCTCAGTGTGGGTAAAGGGAACACCAAATCTTCAAGGGGAAACTACTCACAGCTCTGTACTTTACCTCTTGGACCTAAGGTGCCATTCAGCCCTCCCCTGACATGCGAAGTAATTGCTGACATCCTTCCTGTTTCTTTATTCGGTCCCTCACCAAGATGTTTGGTATTACTTCACAAATCTCTTTCAGATCTACCTTCAACCCTAAATTCTTCTGTCACTGCCTTCATTTAGTATTTGTCACCTTGGGCTACAAAGTATTGCAATAACTGTCTCTCATCTTGTTCTAGCCAGGAAGGATTAATTCTAATAAATATCTCCTGTACTCCTGCTAATCGGCTTTTACAGAATGTTCCAGTCTCATTTTGTTTCTTCTCCATTCTAACCTGTGTCCCGGCTACTCTGAGCTTCTCAACGCTCATAGAATGAATGCCTCGGGCTCTGGGAAGCTCCTATACCTCTGCTTCACTTTTCCCAGAATCCTGCTCTCCTGGGACAAAGTATCTTCTATAGCCGCTTGCCTGTGCTTCCTAGGCCTCTCAAACTCGGTCCCACTCACCCTGCCCTGTGCCAGCTCTCTCCTTAGAAGTGAATCAAGGGACCTGCAAGGGGGCCACAAGAGAGAACACAATCCTCTAAGACACAGTTCTATCTCTGCTGAGTATTGTGTGAAATGTCCCCAGTACAGAGAACAAATAGCACAGCACCTGTTTACTACATGGTTCAGTGGAAAAGGACAGGGTGGGCAAGGTGCAGGTGTCACAGCAAGATGGGATGCAGGAAGCGGCACAGAACTCCTATCTGGTTCTGGATCCTCCTTGCTCACTTATTGAGAAGCTCAACAAGACCCACATAGTACCCGGCACTATTCTCACCCAGGACCCCAGGAAATAAAACCAGCTCTCTGCAGGGCCAGGACAGCCTGCTGGGTTCTGTCAGCCTTACCAGCCTGGTGATTCCTTCCTAAAAACTGCATCGTGGGATAGACACAGAAATACAGTTAGATAGGAGGAATAATTTCTATTGTTCCATAGCATAGCGGGAAACTATAATTCACAGTAATTTATTGAAATTGAAATACACAATAAATTATTGTGAATTACACAAAGAAATTATGTTTGAGGTAATGGAAATGGTAATTATCCCAATTTCATTATTATAACTTGTATACATGTATTGAAATATGCTGCACCCTATAAAATGTGCAATTATTATGTATCCATTTTAAAAATTTCAAAAACCACTGTACTGTGGGATGTAGACATTTTTCTAAAAGGAACGTAGCAGCCACCAGGAGAAATGAAGCTCAGAATTAGGTGCATACAACCACACAACTCAATTTTTACTATTAGAAAAAATAATATAATCATAGTCTAACCAGCAAACAATACAGAGGACTATAGTGTGAGAAGTATGTCCACCTCTCAACCCCTGTGCCCCAGAGCGTGTCTCTCTGTCCCTACCCTGACCCTGTCATCTACCTCCTAAAAAATTCCACCTAATGCAAAAATAAGTCAATATCTGCATATTTTAAAATTAATGGAAGCAGGTCCAGGGATTTAGCTCAGTGGTTCTGCCTCCTGCCTCACAAGTACAAGGTCCCAAATTTGATCCCTGGTACCAAATAAACAAATAAATAAAAATAAAATTAATGGAAGCCCAGAGAAAACATTAATCCATGCTTTGCCATTTTTACTAGGTCTAGAGATCATTCCATATGAGCCCATAGACATCCTAGCCCCTCACATCTGTACAGTGCCAACTGTATAAATGGGACATGACGAATTTAACTTCCCTACTAGGAAGCCTTCATTCTGTGGTCAGTCCTTCATTATAATAAACTTGCTGCCAAGAACAGGCCATGCACATGAGTGGTATAGATGCCAGTATATGTGACATAAATTCAAAGAGAAAACTACAACTTCAAAACTATGAAAGTACAAGCCATATTTAAAATGAAGGTCTTCCCCCCTTCCAAATACTAACAACCAGGGCCAGTCTTGCTCAGTTTGTGAGCAGGCTTATTTGGAGCAGAGTGGCCAGAGGTAAATGAAGGTTCTTCTGTGGTGCTGGACCCCTTGAGTTGTAGACAGGGCAGACTCCAGACAGGGACTGGCACAACTTGGCCTACACTGCAGGCACTAAAATCCAGGGCAGCAGTAAAACCCAGGCAGGATGTTTTGGTATTTCCAGATTTATCATCTATACATAAACACTTAGCAGGGGCTTTCACAGTTGGGTCTATTGTTTAACGAGGTAAATGAGTAAGCCAAACCTCCACTCAAAAACCAAAAATCAGATAAGAAGATAAAAATCAAACTATGATTGGGCCAGGGATTTAGTTCAGTGGTTCCACCACCTGCTTAGCAAGTACAAGGACCCGAGTTCAATCCCCAGTACCAAAAAAAAAAAAAAAAAAAAAAAAAAATCGAACTATGATTAACAGTTTCCAAAGCATTTAGACACCTAGCAGCACACAGCAGCATCTTTCTAGTCTGCGCCCAAGTCATAATGGTCATTAGCTGCATCCGAAGAGTCAGTGAAAAAGACTGTTTGCAATTTGAGACCTAGGTATACCCAAATGGGAATAAAGTTGTAAATTCTGAATCACAAATATACCTACAGAGCACCTCCTATATACACAAAGTTTATGCTACTGAACTGGAGAACTCATGGCCTGCCCAAAGAGGACAGCCACCACTCAGTTCAGCCTCACTTCCAGATGGCCAAGCAGGCCCAGTACCATAAGATTTTACACAGCTTCAAGACAAATAATTTTAAGGGAAAGCCTTCTGAGGTTGAAGAATTCAAAAATAACATTTTAGAAGGTTAATTCTATACATGATTTTTTTAAATGTATATTAGTCAGATTCGCTCCATGAGCCCTAGCTCTCTGCTCTATGTTTATCCAGACTGTTGACATTCTCTTTCCTCTTTTTCTCCAGGAAGGTTCACCCCCAATTCCCTGTTACCTCAAATAATAGAAATAGTACTACAAATACTATTCCAAATTAGAATTAAAACAGAAGTTGGAAAGCAGATACACTTTTGCTGAAAAGAATGTGCCAAAGGTCAATGCATGCCCATGCTCCGAGGGAATGAAACACACATTTTAGACACTTGAGGACCTCACAAGACAAAATAACTATGAGCTGAACTGTACATGACCAACTGTAAAAAGGAATGGCTTGGGCCACACTATCGATGAAGGGTCAGGTCACCTTAAGAAAGCAACATTATTTCATTATCAACAACACCAGGTCATGATCAGAGCCTTCTTGACCATTTTTCATGTTCCAGATGGCTTTCTTACCTAGATCCTTGGAAATGACTCATGTGCTCCTTCCTAACGTACTTCAGAGAAAGAGCAGGAAATCTGGGGGCCCCTGACACCCATTCTTGCCATTCCCCCTTTGAGTGGGATGTGCAGATTTGCTTCTCCTTGGAACAGCCTCTTGTCCATATGGCATGTTCCTGGAGGAACTGTGCCTGCATCGCAGAGAACTCACCCGGGCAGGGCTGACACTGGCATATGGCCTTCCCCGTCAGAACAAGAACGGAGGGAGACGGATCCTCAGGTCACCCGTTAGCAGCATCTCAAACGCAGTAACGACTGTTTGTGCAAGAAAAAAAGACGGATTTAGACGCAACTGACCCTGGTTCCTACTTATGATGTTGAAGTGTGAAAGACTATGAGGAAGACTTAAAGCTTTCCGTGTTTGTTACGGAAGCCTTGGTGGGAAATCCTAAGCACCTCTCTATATACTCCACTCCACTGGCTACCTAGCATCCATTCCATACCCTTTGGGTGCCATCTCTCTGATTTTCTTTTGAAAAATTGTCAATTCTTTTTGACATTGGGTCTTTGGAACTATTTTTTCCAGGTGCTCTGTCTTACCCTCATCAAAGATTTAAATTATTTCATCGTTCCTTCATTGAGTCACTCCATAAATCTTCTTTGAGCACCTGCTTTGTATGAGACACTGATTTTTGCATTGAAAACATAGAGTTATAATTAACAATCAATGTCTTCGCATTTTGGGTTTTTTTGTTTTGTTTTGTTGTACTGGGAATCAAACTCAGGACCTTGTACTTGCCAGGCAGGTGCAGCACCACTGAGCTAAATCTCTGGCGCTGTCTTACCATTTTCACTTTATAGCACTTATGTGTTAAGGTATAATCCAGCTTTCCTTGACCCTAGCTCTGCTAAGAGGTCACTCCCTTTCCTGGAATTAGGATCTTATACAGAATGATGCAACAGCTAGAAATGGTTAGTCTCATCTATTCAAGTTTGATACCCTTATGAAATTTGGGGGAGTCCCATATTCTTAGACCCCCAAAGTTTCTTGCACTTCTATCCATAGGAACGTTGAGATGCTTCTTCCCATCAGTGCCCCGTTTCTGCATCAATTCCATGAGTAAACAGACTTTCAAAAAACAACTTTTATGTTTGTTTGCCGATTCTATTTTATTGCCTGGATGCCAAGACCCCCCACTGATGAGGGAGTTGTTTCCTAGTCTGTTTAACCCAGCACCTACTTCATTTGGTTACTTCATCAAACCTAAAATGTTTTTTATCCAAGTTTTATAAGAAGAACTAGTTGAAAATAACCAAACCTGTGTTGGAATACATTTCATGCATCACTCTACAATGATCTCTACAGCGCAACTTTAATGACAACTGTTGATATCATTTTACTAGTAATGACACAGTTTGCAGACCTTCATTCTTGCCTGGCTTGGTGTCTTCCACATCCTAACTAACCTACTTCACTACACCTCAGTGATGGGTACTGCTCCCCGGAACATGCTCATGCATTCTACTTAGCAACTGCTTTGTATCTGAGGAAATATCCTAATGGCTTGTCTTTCAGGCCATCTGTGTGTTGGAGCTTTAAATCAGTTCTCTAGGCAATATGAGATTCACCACAAATGCAACCTGTGTCTTTCTAAACTGAATTCCTGCAAGACAGCAGATAGTATTAGTTGTCTGGATTACTTTCAGAGTCCAGGCAGATATGCAAACAAGTAAAGTTATCGAGCTGTAAGGTATTAGGGTCCTACACACTGGAGAGCATGTGCCCTGCTCACAGCACCTGCTACCACTCAGCCACTACCAAGAAATGTGGTCGCAGGATTGCCAATCTTCCCATTTTTTTTAAAGAGAAGTTTTGAAATCTGAATATGAAAGTCCAATCTTCCAGTTTTTAGATGTCGGCAATAGACTAAAAGAAATCAGTACTCTGAGGACCAAAGAATGCGTGCTTGTGGACAGGTTTTAGACAACAGAACATCAGTTTCCAGGTCTGGATCTCCTTCACCTATTCTGATTCATGTGTCACTCCGCATCAGCCTTCTGGTTTCAGGACGCTTTGAGTCTCACATGTGGTTCAATCTTATTCTGCTGCTTTTTTTGGAATTGATAACTTTCTCCTATGCTGCTTGCTTATTAGTATTGCTCTGAGAATTTCCCCAGGCTCTGTTCCTCATGGTCTTTCAGGATCTAACCCCTGCTAGCACATTTTCCATGACCACCCATCAGCGGGCCCCACAATAAGAAGCCATCTAATGTAGCATGGATTTTTATTTAAAACTATCCAGGCATGGTAGCACTCTGGGAGGCTGAGGCAGGACTGCAAACTCTTAGCAATTTTGTAAGACTCCATCTCAAAATAAAACATACAAAAAAGGGTTGGAAAAACTCAGCGTGAAGGTCTGGTTTTAATCCCCAGTACCACTGAACAAACAAATCAGTCCAGTGCCCAACTTGGTCATTTAGCTTGTATGAACCATTATTTTCTCATTATTGAACAAACCCTTGTTTGGGGAATTAAATATGATTATGTTGATCAGTATATTTTACCTTTCACATAGTAAGTAACAGAGTCATAATGACAGTTCCCCTGCTTTCTTTCCATTATATATGTCCACTTGTCCTGAGAATGCCTTTTTGGGATACAGAATATCTCTGTTTTACATAAGTTCCTCCAAAATTAAAAGATCATCTTCATGCCCCCCACTATGTCTTCTCTTTGCCTAGTAAACCAGGCATTTCAAATGGAACCCATGTGGACACTGAATCCTCCAGGGATTCAGATGTGTTTGTGGTCACGACAGAATCTCCTGGAAGTGTGTCTGAGGGGCTGGAGATCCTCCTGGGAAAGGAGGAGATCATCTTGGGAATATGGTATCAAGGGGAAAGGGTTTCATTCCATTACAATGTTTCAGTCTAGAAGTGAGAGGTGGGAGAAGGAAAAGTTTTGTTCCCAGCAGAGGCTGTGAGATTTGTTCACCAGCACAGCTTCTACAGATGCATAGTCCAAGTCTCCAAGGAGGAGGTGGTGCATCAAGAAATGGGTAAAAGAAAAGCAAAAAGAAAAGGGATGCTTTGGCTTTGTCAAGCATTAGGACACTGCGCAGAATGGCTTAGATGCCATGGACACAAACTGTACTTACCACGAGGGTAAGACAGGCTCCTTCCCACTGACACAGCCTTGTGCCTCACCACCACCATCTCCAGCAGACAGGCCTTCTCAGGATTAAAGGGGTATTGGCTCTGTAATGCTCTACACATGAGACCTGCAATAATTGTTATTATTTGGTGTGATGGTGTGTAGCGGAGAGCGTCTGTGACTTGACAATCAAGTAATGAGCTATTGATGAGGGAAATGAACCAGCTGACAGCTGAGGCTGGAGACCATTAACATCTGAGCCTTTTCCTGCTGACTGTTATCACCCGGGACTCTTTAATAATAGCTCATAATTATAATCACATTTATTGAGATGTTACTCTGTTCTGAGTGCCTTATACAGATTATTACATGTGAGCTGCACAATGACACTATCAGAAAAGTAATATTACTATTCTTATTTACAGATAAGAAACAAAATAAAAACAATATACACCCATCAAGTGTTGGGGTAAAGAAGGCTCAGGATATATCCACCACTAGAGATAACTACTACACTAGAGATAAAAACACAAATGGAGGAAAGTCAGAGTACAGTGATCTCATGGACTCTGATGGTCTGCAGGGAAGAATTACTTGAGCTGGGCTGAGCTGGAATGGAGCACGACAAGGATTCCTCAGAGAGGAAGGCTGTTTTTGTATGGGGTCCACAGTTGAAGGTAAAAAGGAGTGTCAGTTCCTCCTGGAGTTTGGTGAGTCTGGCTGTCACCTGGAGTCTCGTTAAAAATGCAGATTCTGAGGCCCAAGATTCTGCATCAGGGATGCTGATGCTGCTGGTCCTAGGACCACACCCTGAGTAGCAAGGAGCTAGGCAAGCAGAGAACAATGAGCTTTCCGGTACAGAAGTGACACTGTCAGGGAGTAGTAGCTCGGCTCTGGCCTCAGTTTCTCCAATCGCTGAGGTAACTCAGACCTGCTGAGTCAAGGCACTACTGAGCTAGTGAGAAGGACACCAGAGGGAAGACGAGCAGCCACCACCTGTGCTCTTCATTCTCTGTATGAATTTAAGATGAATTTAGCCATCACACAACTAAAACATTGCAAAGGAGAATTTTTTTTAATTCTTGCTGAGATAATTCTAAATGAATGCAAAAGGAAGAAGACCTTAAGGTGCCACTGTATTTTTTCCATAAAAACTGCATTTTTTACTCCCTACTTTCTAATATGTATCCTTTTCAGTTCTGTTCTTGTTTCCACTTCCCAATTTCTGAATGTTAGTTTTACAATGTTCAATTTATAATATTTGCATTTTGCTCTATAATGATGTCTTCTGAGCTTCATCATTAAGTTGATTCTAAAAATTGAAAACCAATAGTGATTTCATCATAATGACTGTGTAACTTCAGTTCGCTACACAGCCGTTGCTCTCTGTGACGAGATGTTCTTTCTTATATGACTTTTTGTCTGGAGTTCAGTTTTTTGTGACTAATTGCTTCAGGCATAATTTTATTTGGTTTAATTTGTCCTACAAATTTAGCATTTTATCAAATCCTCTCATTTTGCTACAGTCCCTTCTGGGCCTCACATATCTGATAATGTCTTTATTCTGCCACCTTATTTATTGCTACTTTAGCTGTGTATATAATCTTAAATTGGTGTGATTTCTTCTTCAGAAAGTCAAAGGCTTCTAATATCTAGAATTGTGGATAGTCTGATGCTGACTTTTTGCTATCATTTTGGATTTTTCTTATTTATTGTTATTAAGTTTATTGGTACATTTTAGGTATTTAGTACAGTTACATTCATCATTGGGATCTTGAACATTTACATGACTTATCTTGGTTCTTAATTTTTCCCCATTTCCAGCCCTCCCTTCACCCCCTCCACCCTTCCCTGTTTACAAAGACATTGTTTCCAAGTTTTTCCTTTTCACATATTTTTTCTTTTCCCTTTTTCCCTTTCCCCGACCTCTTCCTTTTGCCGAATACCTTTAGACCTTTTCTTCCTATTAAAAAGAATCAATTATACATTTTGACCCTTATTCACACTTTTAGTTTATCACACCAGAGAAACTATTTGGTATTTACACATGTGACTTATTCATTTCACTTGAGTATGGCCTCAGTGTGCATCCACTTAGCTATAAATATCTCTAGTTTCTTGTTTTTTATGGCTGAGTAGTACTCCATTTTATTTTTTAAAA